CACTGACTTGGAGCAATTGCCATCTTCCTAGACACCTTTCCCCACCTGGCCAGGCTTAGGGACCAGCCTTCAAGATCTGCCTAGGAATCCTGGTGGGCAAACTCCCTCTATTGCACTGAGTCCTCCCACTGCCAACAGACCCCACACCCCCAGGAAGCTCTTAGACTCCTCCTATGATGCCCCAGGTTGGGGGCAGTCTAGGATGTGCAGATGATGGAGTCAACAGGGGTAGGGAGATGTAGCCACATGGTTGACCCACTTTCTAGGACCCACTGCTGACAGCACGTCCTTGCACTAACCACTGATCTAGGACTGTGCACCGTAACCTATCCCCACAGGCCCTAAATGAATGTACGACCTCCCAGCATACAGGCATGTACCAGGTTTTATTCTCTGTGGAGGGGATGGTCCTGGGCTTCCTGGTCATAGCAAGCTGCCTTGTACCAGCTGTGTGTGTGACCTGGGGCAAGTCAAGTTCCTTCTCTGTTTCCTTACCTGAAAGTGATGAGTGAGGAAGGTAGCAGGACTGAACTTTGCCAGGAGATCTCCAACATCTACCTGCTCTAAATTCTGACTTCATGAGGTCCCAAGCAGGACAAGTATCTTTTTGCCAAAGACACAGCCTGGGCCACCATGGCAGGGCATGCATGGAGCCCAGCTCTCATCCCACCAGAGAGGTCCCTAGCCCAGGGCATTACTCCTTCCCAGAGCTGGCACCTGCCAGCTAGGTCTGGACACAGCACCAGCTTGAGGCCCCAGCTGAACACCCATCAGAAACCCCCAGGGTAGGGTGGCTGGTGGGGGGTGGGACTCTCTACACTTACTGATAATCAGGCAGATCTCTGTAAGAAACAGTACGTGATTTCCTAGTAGTTTTAGATGTGAGCACAGCCCAGTTTTACAGCTGGCAGTTACTGCGATGAGTTTCCTCTCAGATAGGGCTTCTCTGTCAAACTAAGGAGGAAGAAAGAAGTCCCCCCCGTCTGAAAAGCTGTGACTCCCACCAGGGAGTCCCTGGCCCTTCAGACAGCCGGTGGGCAGTCTTCTGAGCCGTCCATCTGGTTCCAGATCCATTCTGCCCCCATGCAGAATTTCCCTGCCCTTTGTGGCCACAGGCTGTCCAGCTGAGCACCCAGGCCAGAGAGTGATGTGTCCCCCTCCCCTCCAACT